GAAATTGACATCGGTGGAAAAAGAGGTGGCGATGCTAGAGATAAGACCTGGAGGGACAATTTAAATTGAAAAGTTAACGGCGAATTTGGCACACGAGTCAAAAAGGGGGGGGTCAGAATTTTCAAGGCTTTTCAGGGTTAGGGAGGGATGCACCCCTGTAAAATACGCCACTAGGGCGTAAAACACTGCAACCGACATCGTTCAACCGAACATCTGTCATCTCGACTGAACATTGCGAACAAATACTCCAGGCGGAAACAGACTCGTGGAATTCCCAAGGAAGAACAGAAACGTACGAGGCTTCGATGGAGGAATCACTCAGAATGAGATTCTTGAGGATCTCCGCCTCCGGGCCCGGGATGGATATCTGCACCGAAGAACTCCCCTGACCGTCCCCCAGCTGCAACGGCCCCCCCGGCACGTCGATCCGAACCTGATCTTGCACCCCATACAGCTGCAGACGACGGAAAAAAAATGAAACGCCCCCGCTCGACCGCCGACGAAGGCACGAGGGACGGCAACCGACCTGATGATGGAGGACGGCATCATCCGACCCCACGTAGATGGAGTTGGTCGGCGTGTCCCCGTGGGAGATGTACGTGGTGGAGATGTGCGGCATGGACACCCCGTGGGGGTGGAGGACCGATCCCCGGAATCCTCCCTCGCCCGCCATCCTCTCCCCCGTCATCTCTCCGCCTGCAACACCGCGCATTTCTTCGTCGTTGCGTCAGATGTTTCGAGTACGAGAAAATCCTACCGATTGCGATCACTTTCCGCTCGGACGATAAGGCATTTAAAGCCCGAAAAAGCACCCGTCGAGTACCGACGACGAACGAACGAACGACAAAAAGAATCTAGAAGACGCCTCGGGAAACCACCGACCTCTGGAGTGGACGTGATGCGGGTCGTCGTCCAGCTCCAGCGAAGACAGCTGCGCCGTGCTCCCCGTGCTGCTCACCCCGCTGCTGCTCTGCATGGAGTCTGAGCTGAGGCACTTCCCCCCCGGCACCTTCCCCGGGCCCCCGCCTCCGCTCCCCTGCCCGCTGTTGGGGCCGTAGTTCAGCGACAGACGCTTGTAGATCCCGGCGTCTCGGCTGTCTTGCTTCTGCACGTCCGCGAACGAAAATAAAACATACACATAAACACGTTAAACAATTTTTCAAATTAAAAATAAAATTCGATCTTCCGGGAAACTCGTCCCCTCGCCTCTCTCGATGGACCTCGAACGCACCTTGATGTCCTCGATGGCCCCCGCCGTGTGATACCGCCTCTGCTCGGACCTCGACAGGCGCCGAGCGTTGGGGTTGTTCGCCTCCGACCCGGGAGCGAGGACCATCGTCGTTCCGCAGCTCCCGTCCGACTCCTCCGATTCCTCCACCTCTCGCTCCACCGGCGTCGACCGCTCCGATCCGGGGCTCGCCGGCGTCCCTGTTCCGTGAACGTGCCGGTTAGTTTTTGTGCCGGCCGATCCCTCTGCCGGTCAGCCGGTTCACGGGCCGATTTATTATTTATTTATTTATTATTCTTGCCGTGTACGTGTGAGATATGGTGTCTCCGAAGACAAAGCAAGATGAAACTCTTTCTCGGATTTCACTATCTCGTTCGCAACTTTTTCCATTTTCTTTTCCTTTCGAGAGTTCATTATCTCGGGCGGCCAAGAAAAAAAAGAAAAAAGAAAAAGAAATCTATCCCTGACAATTGCCCACTGACTCCCAAGTTTTCTCTCTTTTCTTCGTGCATCTGACAGGCTGTCGTTTTTCATTTTCTTTTCAATCCGATGCGGATTTCCGAGCCGGCTCGGCGAACGACAGACGGGATTCTCTCACCTGTGATGAGCGGGATCCCGTGCCGACTCTCGTAGTCCGACTCTGTGCAGGCCGACTCCGAGATGTGCCCCACCTTCATCAACGGCGGGTTCCTGCTCTGCGGAATCCGGAGCGACCGCTGCAGCGACCTCGGCGACGGCGGCGGAAACGTCGTCCCCCGCGACCCCGGCGACCCCAGGTGACCCCGCGGCACCGCGAGCGTCGGCGCCGACGCCGCCTGGATATCCGGCATGCTCTGCGTCGGTGCGTACGGTTGCTGCACCGTCAGGGTGCTCGGCGTCGGCGTGGGCGAGGGGCACGGGGAATGCGACGGCGGGGTCCACGCTCGGTTCTGCGTCACTGCTCCGCGCCTGTCCGCAAGTCATCAAACATTTGTTAAATTCAAATTTCGTAATCAAATATTATTTCTGAATCATCAGAGGGAAAATTGTCAAAGTTCATGCTGAGAAAATCCAGATGATGTACAAAGTGAAATTGCACCTTCCCCTCTCCTCCCCCCTCCTCTCTCTCCCTCTCCCTCTCCGACCAGGCGAAGAAAACTCATCAAACTGGCATCGCAGGATTGGTCAAATTTACGGGAGGCGAGAATCCCGAAAGATCGTCGACATCGGACATGCGGCTGCAAATTAATTTATCCGCCGATCGACACCGTCCATTACTTCGGCACGTCGGCCGCAAGGCAGAGGCGATTCATTCTCTCGACCCTTCGCAAATCGGCACGATGGAGCCCGCTTGGAATGCATCCACCCGGCAATTCGACTCGAAATGGTCGTGGCTCCAGGAACGAGGAATAGAAATTGACATCGGTGGAAAAAGAGGTGGCGATGCTAGAGATAAGACCTGGAGGGACAATTTAAATTGAAAAGTTAACGGCGAATTTGGCACACGAGTCAAAAAGGGGGGGGTCAGAATTTTCAAGG